TTCCATTTTACTTTAATTATTACTGTGCTGTGCTGTGCTGTGCTGTGCTGTGCTGTGCTGTGCTGTGCTGTGCTGTGCTGTGCTGTGCTGTGCTGTGCTGTGCTGTGACAATTGATCATGAGCTACAACACTACTGTGAGCTTATAAGATCATTAGTAACATTTGTCCCTTATTTACCTAGATTCAATTAAATAAATTTGGAGGAATGGATGTTCTGGTTGATGGTGATAAAAAGGACTTCGACGAAGAAGGAACAATCTTATTTTCGAATGGACGTGTCCAAAAGAAACCCAATACGACAAAATACGTTGTATATTTCGCAAACGGAATTGCGGTGACTGTTGAAGGTGCAAGACAGCTTTTACAGCTGATGGTGAAAGTCCCTGATCAGCATCTTGGTAATGTTGAAGCTGATTTCTTCTGTTGCTAGTTCATATTTTCATGTTAGTTTCAAATAACATAATGATACTGATGATAAAACCACTTCATTCAAGAACAATTAAGTTCAAAGCAAACAATTAAGAAGCACAGTCGCACCAGAACTTAACCGGCGATTGATAATCATTCTCCGAGCTGTGTGAAATTTGAACTATTTGGCTCGGCCAGACGCTGGTTCGATGAAAAGGGCCTTACTGTGCATTTTAATCGGATTTGTGATAAATGAGGACTTGCACACAAAGACAAATGTCCAGTTACGACATTTAGCACAGCAAAGGATGAATGAAGTTTTCGTATCTTCGCTATTTTTTTAGCCCCTTAAAACATCTTCCAAAACGTTATTTTGAATTAGTCCTTATAGAGAACACATGCCTACTAACAAAGGGCAAGCCTAAAAGAACTATTTTAGCTGTACTTTGGTTATTAAGCACATTGCATGTGATTTCTTTGTTTGTTTTCTTTTGATATCTAAGGAAAGACAAGTGGTTTGTTGGGATATTTTGACAATGACAAAGAAAAAGAATTCCTTTTGCCAAATGGCACATTTTTGAAGACCTCTTCGAAAGCTAAAACTCTTCATTATGAATTTGGTTTGAAATGTAAGATATAGTAATATTCAAGAAATAAAACATTGTTTCCGTGTCTTCATAGCCCTATGAAAAACGAGGCGTTTGTTTGGGAGAATTCGAGAGCAGATCAGTGGAGCACCAGACCGCATATAAGAAATTCTTATGACAAAACCAGATATATTGAAATGCTGAGTTGTAACATTCATTTGCTGTGTATTTTGTTTTCCTCAGGGGCTGTGGATGCAAACCAATCACTGTTTACCTACTTTGGTGCTCAAAACCATTCATTTTTCACGAAGCCCATCTTTGTTCCCCTGCTGTTTGACTACGACAACTTAACTTTCACTGATGCAAACCTTGAGGCTGAATCAAGGCACATCTGTCAAGGCAATGTCCAGTGTTTAATAGACGCTATAGCAACCGGACAACCAAGCTTTGCGTTGATGTCCCGAAACATCACARATGAGTTCAAACAAACTTTGAGCATAACCAGGAGAATAGGTGAGCAAGAAGTTGAGCATTCTAAAGCATATTGTCAGAGTGGAAAAAAGGAACTGAAATTCGCTTMATAGGAAAGGCGTTCTAAGGGAAAAAAAACTTGTTACAGGGGTGTCCTGAAGATTGTAAGCTCTCGTCCTTATATCTGATAGGTACTTTTAGTACAGTATCAGTGAACGTATAAACCACCTCCTTTTCTTCGTTAGATTGCATTCCACTGTTTCCTGAGTTTGCCTTTGGACAGATGAAAAGAACAGACCTGGACCATGGAGAAATTCAGTACTCATTTAAGTGTAATTCTACTTTTGTTTTGGATGGACCAGATCTGATTTTATGTAAGAATGGAACATGGAATGGTACCAAGCCAAGTTGCAGAGGTTGGTAGCCAGAGATTTTCTGACACGTGCTTACTCAAATGACGGACCACACATACGCTATATCTTTAGTACTAGAAATATGTTTTCGTAATAAAATCATTAAATATCACTGCTCTTTTAAGGATGCTCTACAGTTGGTAAAAACGTTATTGTTGACAGTATTAGCCTGACTGGATCGGATGAGGTCACATATAGAGTCTCCTGCTTGCAAGGGTATGCACTGTTTGGACCAAGTATTGTGATATGCAAAGGAGGGAAACCGAGTGACAATAAAACAGCATGTTTGAAAGGTAAGACCTTTCGCTCTGTTTATCTTTTATTGATTTGGAATTACCTATGAACCTTGCCCTACGCCTTTACCGTAACAATAGTAAAATGTCATACGTGGATAACATCATGAATTGCATTACTTTATACAAATTATTATGTAATATATAAAATATGAGCGAGAGACATTTATGCTGCTCATATAAAGATGCGGTCACGGCAATGATTTTCCATTTTACTTTAATTATTACTGAATTTGGTAATATTTGATGAAATTATTATTATTTAAAGAACCTGACAATAGTATGGCATTGCTTATAACAATATTCCTTGGTCTATATAGAATGCTCTTCAATTGGTCCAAACATCGATGTACTTAATGTTAACATTAGTGACATCGATGAGATGACGTACAAAATCACTTGCAAATCAGGATATGAAATGCTAGGTTCAAATACTATAAAATGCAGAAGTGGAGAATGGATCTCAAACACAACACGATGTTTGAAAGGTAAGCTCAAGAGCATGAGTGTGCATCAGAAATAGCTTTATCCATAAAAAATATAGGATAAGAATATATATAATATCAAATACTGTCTGATGAGTGCGTAGCACGAAACTCGGAGTAACAGCAAAATCTTGCCTCTTTGATATTATATATATAACTAGCTCTACACTTTATGTGTATTGAGCACTCTTTAATGGGATCAGCTACTTCCTCATACAATTAGGATAAGAATATAGAATAAGTAAGGGTTCGCTTGTTGAAGGGATGCAGGGTTCATTGCCTTTGGTAGCAGGAAAGCTATCGTCTTTTGATTAGAGAATATGAATGTGCATTGCATCCAGCCTCTGTAAGCGCAACTTGTATCACATCTGCATTCCCTTAATAACTGCATTGATTAAACCTTAAAAGAATTTTCATTGAAATGGAACCCTCGTCTATTCTTGTCGACTATTTTATTAGGCCTTAAAGGTGGTGCTTTATCTGGATTTCGAATTAAAATCTGATCTAGGAAGAAGACCTTAACGATGATAATTTTTAGCAATAGACTTTAAGCAACAGAAAAGACTTTATTCTGTATTAAATCAGTAATTAAAAATCGACTTCATTACTTGGTATATCATTATTTTATATTTTGAGTTTTTAGCCATGGCCAGAAGAGGTCAACCGTAGTCCATCTCAGATTTTCTGTGAAGTCTTTTGACTAATGTTTGATCTTATTATGAAAATTTGTCATTTCAAAGCTTTATTATGTGAAGATCATTTCAATGACTTTTTCTAATAAATACATTCATCATTTAATTCAGGACTGAAAGTCAATGCACCACAGCAAGATTCAAAAGTTATCATCTTTATTTCCACATTGATACCATGTACATTGGCTTTCGTGGTCATTGTGGTCGTTTGCTTCATCGTTTTGAGAAGAAAACTTGTGAGCAGAAAAGAAACAATCTCTGCTCATGGAAAAGAGCTTCAGAAAGAAGAGCCAATTGGTGGAAAGGGAGAATGCTACAGAGAAAACACTGCTGTAGTTTTGTCAGTTTTGGATCTTTCAAAAGACAGTAAAGCCGCGTAGAGCCATGCACCCTTTAATCAACAAACCTCTTGATAAATGAAAAGGTCCTCACTAGGCAAATGCAGCAATGTCATTACAGATATCAAAGCTGCAAAAATTTTGAAATTTCATTAGTCTTTATGCAATGTTTTATGTTATCCTTGTATAACCATAGTTGAAATAGTGAATGAGTTGTATTTTCTAATAAGTAGTGAAATACTAATACACATTTATGCACAAACTATAGTCTTTACTGATTTGCATATATATGAAGGTAATAATAATGCTTAGTTTCCAATTCACTAGGTTTTCTTTGTTATTCATTGGTTTGTATATACCATAGAAACTTAAAGCCGCGGAGGGATTTGATATTCAGCAGGGAAATGTGGGGTTGATGAATTGAATTGAATAGCTCGTTATAAATTCAGCGGCCATTTGGTACTTTAGTTTGTTCCTTCTTGAATCCTTCCCTCGTATTTTTTCGAGCGAGTTCAACATCAAAAACTATTGCAATTTTTCTCATTTTTTCCCATCTGCAGACTTTGTCATCGTTATTTGCGAGAAGAAGCATGCGGAGTTCCAAATCCGATAGCAAATCGTCAATATCAAAGTTCGTCAAAGGAATGATGTCAAACGTATTTTGAGCTATAAACAAATCGTCACTGTTCGATATCGTTTACAGAATGACTGCTAAGAATATTTGATAACAATATTCAAATTTCGATTGCTCGCTTTCGCATGAACAGGTTTTCTTAAAGAAAACTTATTTCAACAGTCCATGAAAAAGTCTCAAGAGAAGAGGATTCTATTGTTCGAAACCCAACTAAGAAAACATTCATTAAGTCTATTCAGTTTTTGCGAAAACCACGTGAATTGCAAACTAAGTTTGTTAGTTACCTCGCACGTCGGCATTACGCTATATAAAGCCCTCGGTAATGCCTTCGTTCTCGGTAACTAACTCTTACATATCTAAAGGAATGAAAATTACAAGACGTACTAAGTCTCATGGTTTATCACGAGAAAAGAATTGCAGTTCAGAATTATGAAGATGCAGCATCATCATTCGGTGAAATGGTCAACCATGTTTATCGTTTTACAGTAAATAGGCAGCGACAGCATTTCATGCAGCAAAGCATGATAGGAGTTATGTAGTCCCAGCAATTTTTCATTATTAACCTTTAAAAATCCTAAATGTTACCATTGTATAAACTGTATAGCAGCGTCTATTATTAAAAACAATAAATAGGTAAAAATAATATTAAAAAATTGAATGGGAATGAAAAGACCTTTTCTGTCTAGCTTCAATACAAACAATGCCATATTTGGCAGCATGAGCAAAAGATGTTTGTACTGAACATAGACCAGAATGCAATGCAAGCTGCTATCTCAGAAAATGCCTATTGGGTCCATAAGCAAGAAGCATTGAGACTGTAATCATAAAGGTGGGAACAGGTCGGGGAAGCGAGTTACAACGTAACACAGGTAACCCAGGCTAAATAACTAAGTATGGTTTCATTCTAGTTTAGAAATTCTAGATGTACAGTTGTAATCTGAGTTTACTTGGTATTTTCAACAATAACACTGTGAAGCACTGATTGCTGCATTATGTAAAATTGAATGGAGCTCTTGTTGAGCACGAGAAAACAAAAAAAATTAGCATAAAAATGTTTAAAAATAGTGCAACTAGCTTTTTACGTATGTAGTGTTTTATTTTAGGCTTTAAATTGTTTATTGGTTATTGGTTGCTTTCGATTAATATACCCTATATAGAGTTACTGTTAGAATTCTTTGAGGCCAGTCTCCAACCTTGTATTAACATAAGTAAGTCAAGCAATGGCATATTAGAAATGGCGTTATCAAACTCATTAATAATTCATAATGTCATTAGCCAATGATATACTGAGAATCTAATCACGTGATTATAGCTTTATATTGGATAAAAGGTGCAGCAAGCTCAAAGTTGGGCGCGGCTTTGAATATTTTCAGGAGAGTGCGGGGATGATTATCATTCAACGTTTTCCTGATACAGACCTAATTAATAAAACATTAGTTCTGTATCAGTGATACAAAACTAATGTTTTATTAATTAGGTCCTGTATCAGGAAAACGTTGAGTAATAATTAGACCCGCACTCCCCTGAAAATATTCAAAGCCGCCCCCAACTTTGTGACAATTCCGCTTTCAATTAATCATTTAGAAATTCCCTTGATAGTTCAGTCGTTTCATGAAGGCGCCATACAAACAGTTATATTTGATGCCGGAATATTTAATAACGGCGACATAAGTTGATAATTTTAATCGATGAAATGCAGCAAGATATTCAATTTTTCAAAAACATTAAAATGAGAATTATTATAAAGTTTGATAAGCCGTATACAGAACTCGAGAGCGTGTTGTATCGGGGCTAAAGACCCTCGCCTTCGGCTCGGATCTTTATCACCCGATACAACACGCTCTCTCATTCTATATACATTACTAAGAACTCTAAAAATCCAAATATTTTCAACCAGGAAGTTAAGAGACGTTTTATTTATGTTAGAATGATATCAAAAAAAGATTGTAGAACGACATATTTTATACTTAGTTATTGAGCCTGGGTTACCTGTGGCTGCAATTGACCAGCCACAAGAGCAGCCCATTATTTGACACATCGACTACAATACAAAAATTAGGCAAAGCACCTAATAGAGGAGCTCCAGTAGAAAGGGATGGAAAAATCCTCTGCTCGCAGGGTATCTTTTCTTAGCTGTGGTGCTGCGAGGGAGCTCCTCTATCAAGACTGATTTTCACTAGAAAATAATCATTGTCATAACTCGAAAAGAAAATACAAAGCAATGAAGTGAACCTTCACGTCAAAACAAGCGTGGCAATAAGCATAAGATAAAGAATAAGCTTATTAAAGACAAAAAAAGCAACAAAGAAACAAACGCTTCTTAATCTCTTCTAATCCCAATAGCTATTGTTTTTCATCCCTTTCGGTTATAGCGTTTGAAACCATTCTTTATCTTCCCTGTATGTCCTCCCTCTTCACAAGAGTTTGTTATCTAGCTTCTACTAGCTTTGACTTCACCAAATATGTTAATTTATTATTTTGCGCTGTTTTGTATAAACAATGTTACGCATGATTGCACGATGAATATTTCTGAGTACGTAGATAGCGTTTTCGATCAGTTGGGGTCAGAATAGATCAGTTGGGCTATGAAAACATTGATCAGGATGCATTCCACGGCAACCATTTCCTTCCTTTTCTTACTTACAGAAATTACCCTTGTACACCCAACGTGGCCTATTTCCTTAGATAATTTCACTCCATTTGGTGAAGACAATGGTGATATATCAATGTCCAGTCGACTCGATGCAATTTCAGACAAAAACAACATAACGACAGCTTTTCCTTTCTTTGGTCGGAAGTTTACTTCCTTGTATGTAAGTAAAGATGACATCTATTTCTAACTTCTTTGAGGCTACATTCCTTTTTATTGTATTACAAGGTGCAAAAAAGTATTACTTGCATTTCCATGCAATGACAGGAACAGGAACATCTCACTTGACTATTGTGCGTAATAAAAGTAAAAAAAGCTATACGCTATTTAAGGAGTCATTACATTAGACACAGTGGAAGCGAAGACAGTCAAAGAAGGGCTTCAAATTTAGAAATTGTGAAAGTGAAAGACCTATATCGTTTAAAAGTCAAGTGATAATAATTGTACATTAAATCTGTTAGGTAAGCAGCCATGGAGTGATATCATTCGAAAAAGTATTTGCAAGCTACAGGCCAAAACGTTTTCCCCTTGTTGGTAACTTTACTATAATCGCTCCATTCTGGGCAGATGTTGCAAGAAGATATATAGGTGGCATTTTTTACAGACAAAACAATAGCCAATATCTACTAGAAGTGGCATCAATTGACGTAAGAAAGGCCTTTCCAGGATTCTCGCGATTCTCGGCAATATGGATGTTTGTCGCTACTTGGGAGAAAGTACCTTTTTTCGGAAGTTACAACAATTATCATAATATGACTAAGGTATTGTATTTCCTGCCTTATATAACGACTTTTTTTTTAAGTAATCCAATGTTCACATGCAAAAAAAAGATTTAGTTGGACTCTGCACGGGATGTTCGGAATGTGTTAAATTATACATATTGCATGAGTAACCAGTAAAACTCAGCAACAGCTGCTGAAAAATGTAAACAAGTCTTATGATATTTTCGTTTTACAAATCTTCGCGCTTTGACTATATCGATATTTTTCCTGTTGTTTTGTTTTTGCTGTTGTTGTTGCTCTTCGTTTTTTGTTGCTGTTGGTTTCTTGGTTTGTTTTATTTATTTATTTATTTTTTGTTTCACATTTTTTTTATTACAGCTACTATAACTCTGAATCAGTTCAGCTATAACATGTTAACAAAGATATTTCGGAAGTTGTAGACTGTATCTCTTTTTTCTACACTTTTTTATACCATTGCAGCTATAACTTTTGTTGGGATTGGGAATGGGGTTGTGATTGTCATTTTTCTGTTTCAATATTTTTAGTCCCGGCTTTTGTGTTATTATCGTGATGATATCGTCTCTGAAATGTTTTTTATGACTTCAGAATATCACCAACACCTTTCAGGCTGTACTGCTAACCGATGGCCGCTACTCGTTTGTACGCTTAAACTACCACAACATTACATGGACAACAGGAACAACAAGTGGAGGGAACCCAGACAATGGCCTTGGAGGAATTGAAGCAGGGGTATATATCAAAGCCGTCAATTAATTTGAAATAGCCACGATTGATCGAGACTCGCGGATCATCTTTACATAAAATTAATTTATAATTTTCTTGGGAAATTTAAAATTTAGCAATAATACTAAATATATATTATTTTTGCATAATAGTTTAAGTAAAAGGAGAACTAAAGTCCGAAATATACAAACTAGTTAAAAAATGATAAACCTTCTCGTAGTTCTCTTTAATAGTACAGTAAATATATATTTTCTTTTTAGTCGCCTAGCCGAAGGCTAGGTCGACTTGAGTTACCTTTTAGTCAATCTATCTATGTATCATGTCGCGTTTGGACCACCGGAAGTTAAGAATTTAATAATTAACTATTGGGTTGGCTGTGTTATTATATGACCGGAATCTCAATCGTATAGATGTACGAATATCGTTAGTAAATGTTACATGCTACTTGCGCTTTTATATGATTAAAAAAAACTATTCGTTTACAAATATGGTATCTGTAGTCTCATCGAAATGCATCAGTCTAGGCATCATAAGTACGCGCATGTGCAGTTCGCATGGAGCTTCGAGTAGTATGCTTACGAAACTAAATCAATGACCTTTCTAGCGTTAGGCAGTCTTGTGTGGGCAAAGATTTCAAATTAGAACAAGAAGACACTTTGTTTATCAATAACAAAAAGGTGACTTTAATGATTTTATGGGTATGATTTTCTTTGTAAAGTATTTATTTTCTTGGCCTGAGAGGTCAACGTATTACATTTCATGATATCACGACATTTTGTCTATGTTTGATTTTATCAGTAAAAGCAAGGACTCTTTTAAGACGTTCATATCGATGTTAATAACATTCAATTACATGACCTTTTAGGTCAAGTTTATTTAAAGTCTCAAGAGAGTTCGGATATTTTGAACTAGACGCTCTTATTAGACCATGAGTTCGGCTATTTTGGAGAAAAAATAAGAAATATATATTTTAATCTAATTTTTATATTTTTATGTAATATCCTGTCTTTCTCAATTAGTTTCAAAAACAGCTATTCCGACTTCACGCTCCAAGAGCGTCTAGTTTATGTATAATTTTTTAATCCACTTATCAAAAAATGAAGTTAAAAAGATCAACTCAAATTTCTGTTTATTATAGTGCGGATTCAACGCTGGATTTGGCAATCATTCCTACAACGTCACTTTTAATAAGTATCGAAGCATTGGGGTACTGGATCTTCCTTTCAAAACAAACGTCAACAAATCAGGAGTGTGGATGTTCAGGACAGACGATATCACAATACAAGAACCAAAAAGGCGAATCACGGACGTGGAGGAAGGTCTGTCATGTGAATTTTAATTCATCAGAAAGAAAAAAGGAAAACGAAATCATCGGAAAATTGATACGACATATTCCTAAAATATAGACAGGATACTTGGACACTTGCAGGATATTTCCATGAAATAGTCATGGTTTTACGCTAGCTATGTAAATTTCATGTACTTATTTACATGAAATTTACAGAATATTTCCTGGAGTTACAGGTTAATTACACAGATGATGTAAATTACCTGGAATTGATGTATCACAATTTAAGTACCGTTTTTTGCGTGCTTCGATTTGATTTTAAATTTTCTCTTGTAATTCTTGAATGTATTCAATCTGAAATAACACAACGCACTCTGACTGGCAAGACGAAGGTGAAGTAAAAAAAATGAAAAGAAAAAAAAGAAAAATGAGAATTGAAAAAAGGCCGACAACAAACCATTAGCAGTCTTAAAGGTGAGTACAAAGTTGAAAGCAAGTTTTAAGTACTAAATAAAATGTCGTGTTATCAGGGTTTTTTTTTTAATCTAAAAATTTGGAGTTTTACAAATTGCGTATTTTTCTCATTACTGATTCACATGATACTTAGAGACAATTTCCATAATTTTTACAGCTGTTTAATGAAGTTTGCATATTATGTAATTTTCCTGTAATTGTTTAAATGAGATTTGCAGAAATTTTAAATTCTATTTGCAGGATTTTTGGAGATGATGTAAATATCGGGACTGTTGAACTGACCTGAAAAGTTGATTACGACAATTTAAATTTCAATGATGCAAGCCATGAGGCTGAATCAAGGCGAATCTGCCAAAGCAATATCCAGTGTCTAATCGATGCTATAGCAACCGGACAGCCAAGCCTTTACGTTGATGTCCCGAAACGTCACAAATTAGTTCAAACAAACTTTGAGTATAACCAGAAGCGAGAATAGGTGAGCATGATTTGAAGTTGTGTGATGATATGGGTATAAAAATAACATGTAATTATTTCGGAAAATCAGGTCTAGAGGAAAAATCTTCAATCTACAAATTTTACAGTTCTTATCACTATCTAAAAAAGGCAATCGAGCTTGCACTGTTGAAAATTTATACATGGTTGTCTAAAGATAGTCAATTCGAGGGCTGCGATGAATTTTGGTTTCCATGTTAATTTTTTCAGTTTACGTGATTTTCGCTTTGTCTGATATCTCTAACTCTTATTTCGTCCCGTTCACGTGATTCAATCCCAACCAGTAAGACAAAAGAAAGAACAACTTTGACACTTTTGGTATATTATCATACAAATAATTTCGATTTCATACTTGCTGTCAATCTTTGGCATTTTGTATGATTTCTATTGAAACAATTCAAACGGCCGCTTTATTATAGGACAAACAGTTAAGTGTAGACAAGGCTCTAGTTTGTCGAAGCAAGAATTTTAGACTAAATGCACAGACATTTGATAATATGGCAATGATAACAATAATGCCCATTCTTTTTGTACTTATACAAATTATTCTCCATTCGTCTGCGTCGACTATCGCCTTGGATGACTTATTTGGTGAAGATAAAGGAGGTATTTTGTTGCGTCTAGGAGATGATTACAGCTCAGACAAAATCATGATTTCAACAGCTTTTCCTTTCTTTAGTCGGAATTTCACCACGTTGTATGTAAGTAAAAACGAATTAAGTATAGTCTGTGTGAATCAGCATGTTACGAGGACCGCACGTGTGACGAGCCAGTCTGATTTCAATACTAAACAATTAAATCTAGAGACGGTATAGTACGGATTAGACTGATTCCATAAGTCGTAGTATTCGCTCCTCGATTTTTCGGTTTGTTGCTAAAAAAAAAGGAAAAAAAAGAGCGACCTGACAGACTGGTGGAATCAGTCTAAGTAAGGATAAAATGTCTCGTCAAAAAACAGTTATATCCATTTTTTGTGCATAGTCAATATCCCTTTTTCTCTGTATTTATATATACGAACAGTTTATTATTTTTAAAAGCATTCTATATTATTAAAACAATCAGTTAGTCCCGTGCAATAACTCAACCTTAATTCGTCAGTAATAATTTTCAGAACGAAAATCTCGCCACAGACTCAGCTTTGAAAGATTTCATGTTGGTGATCTATGAAAGATAATATTGCAAAATATACCTGAAATTTGGTTCCGCTATAGTGGGTAAGTAACGACACTTATTCCATTCAGACGTTTTATTTCTGTGATTTTTCATCAAATTTCCTTAATCATATCCAAAATAACTCTTAGATTTTCACTGAAATGCTATTTATATTACTGATGACACAAAGTATAAGGAAGTCGTCTATATTTGAGCGCAACCACACGTACGGAAAGTGAAACATCACGTCTTTGTACCTTATGTTTCTGTTAGTGGTATATTGATAATTAGTCAAATTAACATCATACCGTGTCGGTGCCGGATCCAGAATTTTTATATTTTCTATAAAGCTTAAACCGAAGGATTAATATGGATAAGTTGGATTGAAATACCGAAAATAAAAAGGCTAAGACAACATTCGTTAGTCTCACTCGTAACATTTGAAATACAATCCTAAGATCATGAGAACATACTGATGAGATTGTAAGCTAACGGAGAGATATGACGCCTGAAAATAAGATTTTACCGTTTTCACTCGCTTTAAACTACCATGCTACGGTGTATCAACCTTCCAAGCAAAGTCTGTGGGATATATATCTAATTTTCAATCAGTTGTAGCAATTAAAACACTTTTATTGCAGGGACTTCTTTAGAAGTTCTTTAGAGCTTTTAAAATCTTTAAAATCAGTAAACAAAGTGCAAATTGTTAAAAAGTACCACTTCTGTTAAAAATGTCAAGTCGTAAACATTTGATTAAATCTGTCAACGCCCTGTGCTATATTTCATTGAATTTATTTATTTATTTATTTATTTTTTGCAAATAAAGAAATCAAAGAAATATGGATTCATCTGGGTCTCAAGGGCCCGTTTCCTTAAAATTCTATTTGTTTTGATTATAATTATAATTATAATAATATTTGATTCATCGTATCGTTCCGAATTTGTCTACACAATCAATCTTCGAGCTCTGTTGCCTGACGGCTTGATGTATTGATATTCTCAAACATAAGAGTAATGTTCTCTTATATTCTTATATTTTGAACCAAAATTTCTGACTCCCAAGCAAAATTCGACCAGTTTCTATGTGTAAATTAAACCTATGCTTGTCAAACTTTTGACTTTCACGGAGTTTAGAAAAATATTGTGTTTTCCTTCATAGCAGTACCGTTTAAGGGAAAGGGTTTCGTAATCAGGATTCATTGAAAAAAGTTTCGCTATTGTTTCTGAGGATCTAAAATGTATAGTTTAGTGCGGACAACTACATGCTATTGTAATGTAAATTGCAAGTAACATTACCACATTTAAGAGGTAAGTAAATTACTTTCATGTAGGACAACTGCTTAACTACAGCTTGAGTTTCTAAAGCTCCAGACAAACTATCTATCTGAAGTAATGCCCAGGAATCCGTATCGACTGATTACCGCCCAGTATTGTAAGTTGGACCACCTAAATCAGTTAAATTGCTTTGCAATGTTATTTTTTGTACTACAACACCCGTTTGCAAAAAGATAGAAAAATAATTAATAATGATAATTGTTTTATTTAATACTATTTTCAAAGTCTAAACTTTCATTTCAAATTTATTCTGCTGAACCAATTAAGGTATTTGATGCAAGACAATAATGAAAGATCACGATGAAAGATCACACTATCAAAATGAAAGATCAAAATCTAAAATAGAAGCTTTGAATCATATTTTGAATGGAATATTAATATATTTTTTATAAATATTTACCTATTGTATTGTATTGCATTTTTTCTAGAAGTTTAGTTAATTAGCAGAGCGATTCTGAATTCTGTATGGGCATTGACCAAATAAGGTAATAAATCAATGTTCAATTCCAAATAGCTAGGAGACTGGGCTCTACCCTACCACCATATATCTCTGAATACAGCATTGAATCAATCAGTTGGGCTATCAAAAGCGTTGGTCAACATGAGAACTTGATGACATTTCTTTTCATAATTAGTGTTTTACCTGACTCTATTGCCTTTATTTCATCTGGTGAAGACAGCGGCGATGAATCACTGTCAGACTAACCACAAAGGGTGATAATCTGAGACAACGTAATAATCCACAACTTATCCCTTATCTTATCCCGCATTGTAACCGCATTGTTAAGTCCCTTCTTATTTCATCTCATGTAGAACTATACTCAAGGCCAGGAAGTTACATTTCTCCTTGGCGTCCTAAGGCTATCTAGTGTGTCTTTGTGCAATTTAAAGTAGATCTTCATTTTCAAAATGCCAAATCGGTTATTTAATGTTTGACTCATAATTTTGTCGTATTTCTGGAGTCGATTCTATTTGCTTTTCGATTCTCCCTCCACAAATAGACCATAATTACTAATACCCTATTTTGACCCTTTTCTTTTATATGTGACCATTTTTGTCTCAGCGAAATGCGACGTCCAACTTATTTTGATGACAACAACAATTTGGAACTCTCCTGTTGAAAACTGATCAGTTCAGTGCTTAATCCATGGTTGACGGGCCGCATTGCTGTAGAGTCTTTGGAGAAGGCAGATTGGAAACCTTTTTTTGGATTTGATATCCTCTTGAGCACTTCTCACACAATATTTGCACATATACATAATATCAATCACGTAACATCAAATCAAGCCCAGGGCGGTCAGGTTGTTCGTTATTGCTCGATTAGTGCTAATCCTGGCTTAAGTGTTAAACACATTCTATGGAGTCATGATTAACGCTCATTGGCCTTTCAACAATCCGGCGTCCAGGTGGACTATGCAAGCATTATTAACAACCATCTTCTTTGTTTTCACACATATAGAAATTCTCTCATCATCGTCTATTGACTTGGATAACCTCATTCTATTTGGCAAAAACAACGGTGATATATTGTTACCTCCAGGAGACGACTATGAGAGTTCAGGCAAAATCGATATTACGACACCTTTTCCTTTTTTCGGTCAGAATTTTACTTCCTTATATGTAAGTAAAAACAATTGACTTATTCGCCAATGACTCACCCCTCCTGCCGTAAATTCACATCCCACTATCAGTGCATAACCTATTTGCTTGTTTTCGGGAGTGGTCAACTATCACACCCCAATCCCCTCCATTCAATTACTCTATTGTTTAAATATTGATTGAGCGGAAGTCATCTTAAACTGTATTTAATTACCAGGTGACCATCAATGGACTAATATCATTCCAGAAATTATTTGTAAGTTTTAAGCCTAAACCGTTTCCTCTTCGTGGTCGTGCTATAATTGCTCCATTCTGGGCTGATGTTGATACAACTAAGGGAGGTGCTATTTGGTACAGACAAAACACAACCACGCACTTATTAGAAGTGGCATCACTCGACGTAAGAAAGGCTTTCCCAGACTTCCAACGATTCTCTGCAATATGGATGTTTGTTGCAACATGGGAGAAAGTACCATTTTTTGAAAACAAGAATGAGGTATTGTATAGCCTGCATACGAACATGTCAGAAGATGTTTTTGCGTGGTAAGGCAGGGGCGATGCGGATGGTGTCTTGGGAGGCTGCAGCGATTGATATCGAACGCAATTACGTCGAAAATAGTACAAAATAGCCCCAAAAATTTTCTAATTCGTTTGTTTTCTATAGTTTGGTAGTAATTAGTACTAATATCTGTTTCACAGATTTAGTGCTACCACCCACTATTGCAATCTCCCTATTGTAATATTTCAGAATATCACCAACACCTTCCAGACGGCATTGCTAACCGATGGCCGTCACTCGTTCGTTCGTTTTAACTACCACAACATCAAATGGACTTCAGCGAAATCAAGCGGAGGAAACCCCAACAGCGGCCTTGGTGGAACTGAAGCAGTGGTATATATGCCAAATAAGCTTTTATTGCACTTCTTGAGAATCCAGAGGGGGGCAAAATCTAATTTTATGTGCTTTAACAAATAAACAAATTAACGTGGGAGCAGAGCGTAATTTATTTCGTTTGCGAGGGGGATAGTAATTAACTTTTTTTTTTATTTTTCAAACCCTCCCCCACCCTCCCCCGCCCCTGTCCTCCTGATAAATATTGCGCACATTTCCCATGACAAAACAATTAATCATATACAAATGTAAAAAAATCGATTAAGTCAGCACAGTAGAAACTCATGATTGCCAAACCTTCCTTTGACTAGCCCTCAAAATATGGAAATCTGCGGGAGACGGTCGCCAATCGATGGATATAAGCTCTTGGAAAATGAAAAGGATTAATACATGAATACGTAGATTTGTGTGGATTGAATATTTTCTGTTTTTTCCTTCCTTTTCTTATAGTGTGGGTTCAACGCTGGATTTGGTAACTATTTCTACGACATAACTCGTAATGGCTATAGAAACATTAGTGTATTGGATGTCGCTGTCGAATCAAATGTCAACAAATCACGAGTATGGTTGTTCAGGACAGACGACATCACAATACAAGAGGCAAATTGATCCCGTCATCCCGGCCATACGTTTCAGTAAACGTACCAAAATTAATGAGATAAAACTTTAAACAGCCATTCCATAGTATGTTAAATTGTTTTGTTTTTGCCTTTTAATTTACGGCTGTATGATTATTTTGAAGCTCGAAATAAAGACTTTCTTATCTTTAATGAGTCGTCTGATAATTGCTAACTTTTTCACAAAAAAGGAAGTTATCATTATTATGATTATCATTGTTGATGTCTTTCAAATTTGCATTAAGCCTTGTAGAAATAAAATAAAGCCCCTCCCTATAGGAAAGGAAAGAATAAAAAATTAAGACCCTTCCCAAATATATATATTACCACATTAGATGGATATTCGCACTAGGTTAGAATGTACAATATTAATTATCATGATAGACGGTGGTTGGATTGTCGTCCTCGAACCGATGTAGTGAAACTGCTGCTGAACAATAAATGCCATTAATAAAAAACAAATTTCGTGGTGGCATATGTCTCGTCAATGTTTTTAACTACACTGTGAATTCTCGCTCGCTGATTGGCTGATTACAATATGTCAATAACAGACATGATAATAATTAATTCAGCCTCAGGTAGACTAAATACTCGAAAAAAATATCCCGTGCATCACATCTTCCACTGCTTTAATCTGTTTTGGCAGATTTTTAATAGCCTTGTTCAAATATTACATAAGCAACAAACTAATGTAGATAAAGATACCAAGATAATTAGTGAAGCTTACATAAAATAACTAAATTGATAGTCCCGGGGGGGGGGGGGGGGGGGTAACTCCCATATATTTGCTATACGGGGACGTGCCGCTGGCCAGGGTATGGTTTTTGGCCTTGCTGTCTTAAACAGGGCATACATTTCACCCGAATTTGTCTTAAACAGGCTCTACAATTTCGATAAAAGACCGATATAATTTTTTGTGTGTYTTGGACAGGGTAATATTTTCATAAGAAATACCGTAGAATTAGTAGAAATACCGTTTCACTGTAGTAGGATTAACGTGTTATCAAAAACTTCTTATAGTCGTTGATGGATGTCAGTATAATTGCAGTTTTGATGGTTAGGGCGTACATAGCTATTCCTTATTTTTCCGATTTGTCTTGATCAGGGTATGGATTTTTACTTTTTAGTGTCTTTAACAGGGTATGGGTTTTAGACTGCTGGCGGCACGTACCTATCCAAAACGGGGTCCCCCCCCCCCCCCCCCCCCCCCACCCCGGGGGTTGATAGTTCTCGAGTTTGAAAAAACCTGGAATGAAACTGCAGAAACTCTCAAGTTTTAATGAGATGCTGCGTGGTATTTTAAACATAGAATAAGAAAAAACTGATAGTGTCTTATTGAGAAACACCCATCTCCCAGAGAGAGCGCTGTAATTTCCTTCTTCCTTCAGCTGCTTTTGCTTTGCTGCAAATTCATCTCTTGTCTTCCTCTCTAACTCCTTCCTGTCTTTCTATTATGCTCAAGAATAGTTCTTAATTTGTAGAAAAAAATCAAAATTTGATATTTAACAAACCGAGTCGAATTCTCACCAGTTTTGTTGGTTTTTATTTCTTCTCTGCATTCATTTGAATATATACACATGAGATATTGACAATAACAATGACCTTAACCCTTGACCTTGACAAGTTTTCTGACCTTACGCTTACACCGATAGATTGAAGTTTCGATTTGAAAAGTTTAATAATTACTGTATTTGTTGTTCTATCTGAACGGAAGTAGAGTGTAAACAACATAAAACACTAAATTGTACAAAATAGCGTTAGTTGAACTGGGAAAAAAATAGTGCGAACACATCAGTGTTGTCATTAATATTGCTCATGAATCAGATATAGTGTTTGCTCAAATTTTATAAAATGCTGTTATTCAATTTTTTCCTCTCGCTTTCACTACAGTTGAACCGTTGTTTATTTGATTGATGTTTGACCAAATATGGTACAATTTAGAAAATACTGGGTTCTCTAGAGTTGAATCAAATAAATATTAGTTTAATTAACTGCACACTCATTTGACTGAAAGCATCGGCCGACATGGCAAAGATAAGCATACCTTTTCTATTCATATTTTTACAAATATTTCTACATGTAGTTCGCCCATCTTCGTCTGCTGCTTTACATGAGCTCATTCCATTTGGTGCAGATAACGGTGACATTTTGGTTCCTCCAGGGGATGATTCAGTAAATTCACGCAACTTCGTTATTGCGAAACCTTTTCGTTTCTTTGGCCAGGACTTTACTTCATTGTATGTAAGTAACACAACATTACGTTTTGTCTACTTGCATTAATGTAGGCTTGTAAGCCTAGAATCATTGCAGTTTGGTACAGCCACTTGATATGGCTTTTATTGTTGTGCACTGCTCAATTCTGATGGATTGGGCGTGTTCGGACAGTGCTGCTAAATAGATGAGGTGACGGTTTTGGCGGCCATCTTGGCCGGTAGGCAAAGTGTCGCAAAATAGCAAGGATGGACCAGGAATTGGATGTCAAATAATTCCTGCTGAATTCAAATTCGGAAAGAGTTATTAATTGCAAACGTCAGATACTGTAGAAGAAGTTAACTGGCCAAATTTGAAGGCTGTACTTGATCTAGAGTGCGAGTAAACTCATTTTTAGTTGCCCATACATTTCTTCGTAATTTCCGGGGTCATCAGCGCGTGACACGCGTAAAAAATACAAAGAAATGTATTGAAAACTAAAAATGAATTTAATCGCTCCCTAGATAAAGTATATCTTTGAAGTTTGGCCAGGTAACTCTTTTTTGTAGTATCTAACGTTTGCAATTGATAATTCTTTCCGAATTTGAATTCAGCGAGAACTATTTGACATTGATTTCCGGTCTATCCTTGTTATTTTGCGACACTTTGCCTACCGGTCCAAGATGGCCGCCAAAACCGTCATCTCATCTATTGAGTTCGTTTAAACGTTGTGGAATCGTGTTTTGCTCGGCATGTAACTCTTGAAAACATATTGACTTTGGATGTCCAGATAGGTAAACGTGGGCAATTGCCGACGATCACACGCAAGCCCCCACGCACTTTAGTTAGTTTTCCTTCCCTTTCTTTGCAATTCCTCGCTTGTCCTAATCACACGTCAATTTCATTATAGGTAAACATTAATGGAGTAATATCATTCCAAAAAAAATTTTCAAAGTTTAAACCAAAACGGTTTCCGCTTGTTGATACTGCTATGATCGCTCCATTCTGGGCTGATGTTGTTACAACTAAGGGAGGTGCTATATGGTATAGACAGACCACTTCCAAAAATGTCCTGAGAGAGGCATCACTCGACGTAAGAAATGCTTTTCCAGAATTCCCAAACTTCTCAGCAAGATGGATGTTTGTTGCCACTTGGGAGAAAGTACCATTTTATGGAACCAAAAATAAGGTAGTTTATAAGTTAGTACCTCCTAACATTGGCTGGGGAATGTATTTTGAATTAAAAACAAAAGAGTGCTTTAAACGCATCCGTATCGATCGTCTCTGGATAGTGTCTGTGCTTTTATGGTATATGTTTGCATCCATTTGCTGGTGATTTTTCTTTTATCACTTGTTGATATCATCTATTATGAAATTGTCAGTGCTTTTATTAATCAATGTGATATATCTTCATCTTTCAATAACTTTAGAACATCACCAACACCTTCCAGTCTGTACTGCTAAGCGATGGCCGTCACTCGTTCGTTCGTTTTAACTACTATAACATCACGTGGACTTCAGCGACAACGAGTGGAGGCAAATCCAGCAATGGCCTTGGTGGAACTGAAGCATCGGTATACACCTATTTCAAAAACGTTTTTCGACACAGTCCACAATCTTGAGCCTGCAAAGAATCTCGGGTTCCATGCGTAATTAATATATTCAAAATATTTTGTGGCTTGAGTTCAATGGCGGCAAACACTACTAACATACAATTGCGGGCATTAAACCTGTCTCGCCATTACACATTTTCCTTGAAAAATATTCCACGTTTTCAAACCAACAATGAGTTTCAAAGCTATATTCGCTACGAAACCGAGAATGAATTCTCCAATGCTCTGTGTTAGCCCAGTTGTGCGCACAATATTCCTAATTGTGAGAATAAAAGTGTGAGATTTCAAATCAATTCTCTATTGTCTCTCTTTTCAAATTCCATGCGTTTTCTCGGGCTATCAATGAAGCAAGAGAATATTTTTTTTGGTTTTGAAGCTAAAATAGAGCAAACCAGAACTCTAAATCGGAGCAAACTGAATATATAATTAATCATATATGGCAATTCCGAGATTCTTTGCAGGCTCAAGACCGTGGACTGTGTCCAAAAGCATTGAAAATGGACATTGTGTCAACTCACGTAGTAGCTTTCATAAATAACTGACATAATGGAACTTGAACCCCCAACTCGCTCTCTCTATGTGATTTGCCTTATTTACAATAGCAGATTTTTGCTGAGGATAGAGAATCAGCCTTATTGTCTGTTCAATTGCTAGAATGCTTCATGTGAGTAAATTAGGATTTTCCCCTGAGCGCAGTTAACAGCACTTCGCTGCCTGCATGGCTATCTTGGTTGTAATGATTTTAATGACGTCATCATACAGAGGCTAGATCTGATTGGAGAATACATGTTTTGGTTTCTCGAATATCAAAACAAAACAGCGTTATCAAATTTGATAATATTCAGGACTGAATTTATGTGCAAACATTTGATTTGTTTATTGAGTATTTTTTACCATTTCTTCCATTTCCTATAGTGTGGATTCAATTCTGGATTTGGCAACTATCATTACAATGTAACTAATAATGGGTATCGAAATATTAGTGTACTTGATCTTCCTCACAAAACAAATGTTAAACAACCAGGAGTGTTGATGTTCAGGACGGACGGCATCACAATACAAGAACCTACAGGACGAACTACAAAAGGTAACATACTGAGGCTATATAGTCAACAAATCCACAATTATGAAACTGTTTTCTCATCCCGCATTACAAAATCAACAGTCTTCTTGTTTTTCCAATTTTAACAACGTTTTGAATGTCACAGTAGCGTTTTTTTAATATCTTATTATTCTGGCTAGCCACGATGCTCTATGGATCTGTCCACATCATCTGTCCTAACCATTTTCATCTTCTCCTTTTAACTTGGATCATGATGTCGCATTGACTATCCGTTCATATAGTGATTCGCTATTTTATTGGGCCGCTTACAAACCTTCCGTACGTAGGCACGATGAATTGAACCTCAATGGTCTTTTGCTATCCCTCCTGAAGAATTCTCCAGCATTCAGCACCTTAGAGAAGTACCGACACAACGTTGCTGTTGTAATACTTTGTTTGGTCCTCTCCATGATGTTACGAGAGATCTCAATTTTTAATTTAGATGAAAAGATGTTCTTACTTTCTTCAATCTGTTGGTAATGTCTTTCTCTTTTGTAGGTGGGGAAAGTGAGTGGGTGAAAATGAACTTTGATGAGGTGTGCTTTGGTGCTAGGAATGACGCATATGGCTCCTTCGTCAATCATGTCAAAGGGGGAAGGGTCGCAGCGATCAAACTTGTCTACTTACGAGGCTTCGTCCGTTGTGCCAATAGTGCGGTTCACAACAGCAGATGGGGATGCTCTGGAATTAAGAAATTGAGTCATTTCCCTTTCAATGTGATTGGAACCAACCAGAACAACCGTGTTCTCTTCCCAAAAGAAGAAATCTTGGTGTAAGTATAATTTGTCTAGAATGTAAGCAGAATTTTTGTTCATTCTTTCACTCATTGCAGGTATAGCACCATGTGGTACAATCTTCCATTTGCTGACAATCAACATAGCAATGAGCTCGTGTTTACAGGAGACTACTTTAACTCCTTTCATTTCCCGCTTAACGACCAGATGAAGATCTGGTACGGTGAAGATCTCGCTAATCACAGCGAGAGAGATAATCACGGTCGAGTTTGTGTGGACGTCTACGTGAAGTTTATCTGATTTTATTACTTGAGTAGGCGAGGGAAATAAAGTTAATATTGCTTACTGTTAGTTTGCATTAAAAGTTCGATTCGAAAGAGGCCGCGTGTTTCATTTTACAGCAATATGGTAGTCTTAGTTTGTGGTTTATCATTCCCAATCATATCAACTAAGTGTACAAAAATAGTTAATCTTACTCATTTTAATGTTTTTTAGGTTTTCAAATCAATGGAATGCACACTTTTAACAACTAAAATTGATTAAAAGTTCAACACCTACGATTGTAAGACTAAATGTGTGCCAATAAAAATTACTTTAAACTCTAAACTGGCTTAATCTATTAAAATTCATTAAACGTCATATATTTGCACTTATAAATCAATGATGACGATGATAAATGAAAACTAATCTGAATAAGCGAGAGATGGAGGGGTTTAGAGGTCGGCACTAGGCCTGAAAGGGAGAGGGAGGGGAGATGTGGAGGTGGGTGAACTTACAAGATTTTTCTCATATGCACGAATACTATTCACTTAATGATTGTTCCCAAGGGAAACGGTTAGTTTTGTTTCCCGAGAATCTCAATGTTTCCTGAGGTACGCCGAGCATTCGAGGGAAACAAAAACTAACCGTTTCCCGAGAAAAAAGTCTCATTAAGTCTTTTGTTATAATGGTAAATTATGTGAATAACTAAAAACATCAAACACAGTATGTACTTATTGACTGAATGGTAGGACCGCACGGGAAAATATTTGGCTCGAGCGAGGTTATGCCGTACGGAATGAGCGCAGCGAAGGTTTGCCCGTTTTGTTGATTAAAAATCATGATGCTCCCCAAAGATATATATTACCACACTTGACAAGTTGTGTGAGTACTCGGACGCCTGATTTTGTCGTTTAGATTGTGTAAAAACTAGGAGAACAGATGCCATCACATCAAGCGCGTAAGCTAAGTTGAAAGAATTGAAAGAATTGAAAGAGATTTTCACTAATCCTGACTAAAAATATGGCAAAAAAAATACGAATAACGCCATGGATACAGGTTGATGGATTCCCACCAAAATCCATTGTCTTGCTATTGAAACATTTGAATGATTGCCCTTGTTTAAGTGAACAAACTGAGTTGTGGACATAATTCTTATCCATTTATACGCCAAGACGCACTAATTTTGCTATGTACTGTATTGGAATCTCTTTTGAGGGTGGCAAAAAAGAAGCATTTCTTCTCGAAGATACTTTAGTGTTTCTGTGCCATAGAACCAAAATCTTTTGTTTGAACATGTGGCCTTCTGGATGGAAACTGGTAATCACCGGAATTTTATTATTTATTAATTTATTCAAATTTACAGGCCCAGCTACATGCAAAACCCTTTAGAGCAAACTTTGCCATTTGTGCCCCCCCTCCTCCCCCTATAAAAAGCCCGTCCAAAACATTTCAACCCTCAAGCAAAAAAAAAACGAAATTTTTGTTTGTTACTTCTAGATGCATACTCACACTATGCTAGAATATATAATATAGCAAATTTTAATTTACTGTACAAAAAGAAATAATAGAAAAAAATAAACAATTAGCACAAGGACGGTTGGATGGTAGTGGGCGATCAAATTTCGTGAACATTGTCCTCTGTGAAGCTGTTGATATTAACTGTACTAACCGGTAGTGGTAGTGGTAGTTTTAATTCATCGAGAAATAACCATTTCCCAGAGAGAGCGCTGCAATTTCCTTCCTCCAGCTTAGTTTGCTTTGTTGCAAGTCATCTCTTGTCTTCCTCTCTAACTCCTTCCTGTCTTTCTATTATGCTCAAGGATAGTTTCTATTCTGTAGAAATAGATCGAGTCCCACCCTTTTTGATGTTTTTTTTATGCCCTGCATTTATGCTCTTCATTACAGGCTTTATGAATTATATTGATATGATGACGATGACCCTGACCTAAACCTTTGACCTTGACAAGATTTCTGACCTTACGCTTAAACCGATAGCTTGAAGTTTCGATTTCAAAAGTTTGATTCATTACTGTATTTGTTTTTCGATCTGAACGGAAGTAGAGTGTAAACAACAAAACCTTGAAACACTAATAACGAAATTGTTCAAAATAGCGTTAGTTGAACCAACAACAACATCAAAATTGAATAAAAGACATCAGTGTTGTCATTAACATTGTGTTACGAATATAGTTTGCACAAATTTTGTAAACTGCTATTATTCAAATTTTGCTCTCGCTTTCAATACAGTTGAACCGATTTTTATTTGATTGATGGTTGGCCAAATGTGGTACAGTTTAGAAGAGATTGGGTTCTACTCTTGAGACATGAAATTAATTTCAATACAGTATTAATTTTACTGCGAACTGATTTGGCTATAGAGTCGGCCGACATGGCTAAGACAAGCATGCCTCTTCAATTCATACTTTTACAAATATTTCTTGTTCGCCCATCTTCTTCTGCTGCCATGCATGAACTTATTCCATTTGGTGCAGTCAACGGTGACATTTTGGTTCCTCCAGGGGACGATTCAGTAAATTCACGCAACTTCGTTATTTCGAAACCTTTTCGTTTCTTTGGCCAGGATTTTACTTTATTGTATGTAAGTAACACCACATAAATTTTGTCTCCTTGTATCAATGTACGAGGCCGATGGAGTGGGCGTGTTGGGACTGCACACGCTCCAGGGACGCAGTGTACCAGCGGTGCCAAATTGTGTTCGACTAAATGTTGCGGAATCGTGTTTTGCTTGGCATGCAACCCTTGGAAAACATATTTACTTTTTGGATGTCCAGATAGAAGTCGTGCGCACTTAATTAACCGACAACCACGCAAGTCTCAACGCACTTTAGTTTTTCTTCCGTTTCGAATTCTTTGCTATTCTTCACGTATATTATGAACACGTCATCTTTTCATTGCATTCATTATTGATAAACATTAATGGAGTAATAACATTCAAACAAACATTTTCGAAGTATAAGCCAAAACGGTTTCCGCCTTCCTCATACTATTATGATCGCTCCATTCTGGGCCGATGTTGATACCAGGAAGGGAGGTGGTGTATGGTACAGACAAATCACTTCCAAAAATATCCTGAAAGTGGCATCAATCGGCGTAAGAAAGGCTTTCCCTGAATTCCCACGATTCTCGGCAATATGGATGTTTATTGCCACTTGGGAGAAAGTACCTTTTCATGGAAGTACAAATAAGGTATTGTATAACCCGGGTATTGCATGTGACATAAGTACCTCCTAGTAAAGGATTTTCGTAATCAAAACCTGGCAAAAGGGTTACTGTACCTATATGTCTCGCCAGCGTCAGTGCTTTCATGGTATAAATATTCGTTTGCTTACATGGTTTTCCCTTTATCACCCTTTGGTATCGTATTTTGACAGTGTCAGTGTTTCTGAAATAATAGTCGATTTATATTTCCTCATGTTTTAATAACTCCAGAACATCACTAACACCTTCCAGTCAGTATTGCTAACCGATGGCCGCTACTCGTTCGTTCGTTTTAACTACCATAACATCACGTGGACTTCAGCGACAACAAGTGGAGGCAACGCCAGTAACGGCCTTGGAGGAACTGAAGCAGCGGTATATATTGCAAATTGGCTTTGAACAAATCAAAAGTGAATCAATAGTATTGCTTGACGATACAATTAGCAATATCCAACTTAATAAGTCATTTATAAAGCATAGGACAAAATATAAATTCAAAAATTGTGTTTAGATTGTATGTACAAGATCATAGAAACTTGACGGCGACAGTGACACATTGGACACAAATTTATTTGATTTGTTTATTGAATATTTCTTGTTTCTTCCATTTCTTATAGTGTGGATTCAATTCTGGATTTGACAACCATTATTACAACCAAACTAATAATGTTAGACAAATATCAACAAACCAGGAGTGTGGATGTTCAGAACAGACGACATCACAGTGTATGAATCCCGTAATGTTGTAAGTAATCCCATCAACACTTGCGTCATAGGTTTAAACACACGAACACCACGTGCTAGCTATCCCATGTAGACTGATTTTTAGGCAAACATATTCATAAGTGTGTTGGCATGCTAATGGTTGAGTATAATGTAAAAACAGGTTTTGAGACCTAATTAAACTGACGATTTATTCGGCAACTTCTGCTACAATTTTCAGTCAGGACAATTTCCAATAATATAATATAGTTTGTGTTATCGTGCACAAGCTCCATTCAGTGTACCGAATAATAGTTTAGAAGTCATTTTTTTAATATTATTGTCTAGAATCAAAATAGGTAAACTTGCCTTAGAAGTGCATTTCCTCAGTCTATATAAATTCTTCTCGTTCATATTCATAATTCCCGGGCACAAGCTTAGAAGGAGTATGATTTCATTACACGTTTTCCCTTACAACAGCTTATTCCATTTGGTGCTGACAACGGTGATATTATGGTGCCTCAAGGGGACGATTCAGCAAATTCAGGCAGGGTACCAATTGCGACATCTTTCCGTTTCTTTGGTCAGAGTTTTACTTCCTTGTATGTAAGTAACACATCATACAAGTTTTACTATCTGCTAGCAATATTATTGTAAAAAGCTTATGTAAAAAGCACTATCAGTAGTCGAAAAACGTATAATAACGAGTAAAACGTTGCATTTTTACATAAATTTGGATGTGGGCCACATACGGAGTAATGCGTACTTTCTTGCCGGCCACCACGCAAGTCCCAAATTTTTTGTGTTTTGTGTGTGTGTGTGTGTGTGTGTGCTACCAAGTCGTACTGAACACTCGTTATCTTCTAATTATCATAGGTAAATACTAATGGATTAATAACATTCAAAACACCCGGCATTTTCGAAGTATGTGCCAAAACGCTTTCCTCTTGATGATATTGGTATGGTCGCTCCATTCTGGACTGATGTTGATACAAGGGAGGGAGGTGCTATATGGTACAGACAAAACGCTACCAAGAAATTATTAGAAGAGGCATCAACCGACATAAGAAAAGCTTTCCCGGAATTCCCGCGATTCTCGGCAATATGGATGTTTGTTGCTACTTGGGAGAAAGTACCATTTTATGGAAACAAAAATAAGGTATTGTATAACCTGCGCATTGCATGAGGATATGTACCTCCTAGTAAAGGGTGAGAGAATGTTTACTGAATAAAAGCAAGAGTGCTTCGATCTGTATTCGTATTGATCGTCTACCTAGCGTCTGTTCTTGTAAAATCCGTTTGCTTACTTGATTTTTCTTCAGTGGCAATGTTTCTCTGCTTTCACAACTAATTTATACATTCCCATCTTTTAATAACTTCAGGCCATCACTAACACCTTCCAGTCGGTATTGTTAACCGATGGCCACTACTCATTCGTTCGTTTTAACTACCATAACATCACGTGGACTTCAGCGACAACAAGTGGAGGCAACGCCAGCAATGGCCTTGGAGGAACTGAAGCAGGGGTGTGCATATATAGCAATTAACAATATTCAACTTAATTAGACATTCATATAGCATATAAAAACAATGGAAGATCAGAGTCAAACTCCGTGTATAGTTTCTTCTAGACCAATAAAAGAAAGAATTCGACTACACATTGGACACGTGAATTTCTTAGAAATAAAATATAATACATTAAGTTTATACGCAAAAACGTGATTTGTTTATTGAACATATTCTCTCCTTTTTTTCCAATTCCTATAGTGCGGGTTCAACGCTGGATTTCGTAACTATTCCTACAATGTAACTGATAATGGTTATCGAAACATTAGTGTACTTGATCTTCCTTTCAAAACAAATGTCAACAAACCAGGAGTGTGGATGTTCAGGACAGACATCAAAGTGGATGAATCCCGTAATCTTGTAAGTAACCGTGTCATTACTTGCACCATAAGATCAAACACGAGCCTCATGTCATGCAAGCTTTCCCACAAACTGATTTTCAAACATACTCTTAAGTGTAGAATGACAAAAACGAGTCCGGGGAAGGATAACATCGTAAAATCCAAAATTTGGATTATAAACGAGACGTTGTTCAACAAYATTTCGGTTTAATTCAGAACCATAATCATGTTAATTATTTTACAATTTTSCMATCSTATKTAAAACAAGTTTAATTCTCTAGAGGCTTTCAAGCCGTCGTTAATTCCCGGGCGTAAATTCTTGATGTAATAGGCCTCGAGGAATTCC